ACTTCGAGGGTAGATTAGGCTCTTACTATGGGTGTGCGCCCCTTCGCTTCTTTGTTTCTGTGTAAGGACCCCTTATGGGCTTTTGTAATCATATGTAAGGACCCCTCGTGGGCTGTTGTAACCAAACGTTTATGAATATAAAGATATTTTCTCGACTTTCGTCTTTGATGCTTGCCATATTCTCTTACATTTATGGAGACTCTGAATGTATGCCTCTGTTGACTATTGTCGATATCTAACCCGGGTGCAATTATTCTTTCTGCCTTCGGTTGATAAAAACGGCACCTCTCGAATCCCTCTGTTGTTCCTCGAATTAAGCTTGAATTGGTCCGATAGACCCGGGCCGTCGGGACCCTTGGGTCATATGAACATAGTACCTCGAGCCTTGAAATTTTTGACAGCGGTCTCCGAGTGAGGGCCAGCTTTAGACACCTGGAAACTCGTTTTAAACTTGATGTAGGTAACCTCTAAGGTGTGTTAGATAGGTCCTAGATGAGGGGTTGCCCGGATTTAGGCGATATCCTAAGGCCGAACCCTTATGGTCGGAGCTCGAAGTGCTTATTTTCCTTCTCGAGAGGAACCTTCGAGATCGGGTACCATCTCGAATCCTGTAATGGTGCTAAAGGCTTCCCGGAGCCTAACTTCCTTTCCTGGAGGAGAAAAATCCGGCCACGGCCTCGAGCCTTCGAACCGGTTCCGCGGCCTCGAGCCTTCGAGGTGATCTTCCGAAGTACCTAAATGACAAGAAATTGGACCCTCCGATTTCGCCGTATACAAGAAATCTTATTAGGAATATCAACGTTCAATCTGGACTAAGCTGCAATTCCTGTACCAGAATGCCATAAATGGATAATCAGAGTAGAAGAAACTCAACGCACAGTAGAAATCTACTTGCAGAATTCCATGACCCAAAAATTATAGACACAACATATTAAATTAACGCCTTTGAATCCGGCTTCAGTAGCCAAGGCTCGAAAACCTTGTTCAGATCTCTCTTTGCCTCCAGGATTTTGAGCCATCATGATCAAATCACATTGCGAGACGCCAACCACAGCGGTATCAGTGTCAGGTTTCACTGGTAAAATAGCCTCAACAACAATTACCTTTCCATTGTCTGGTAGAGCCTTGTAGCAGTTCTTTAGCAACTTGAGGTTGTGACTATCAGTCCAGTCATTAAAGAATCCACTTCATTAAGAAACATAGATATATTAATCGTTTTGACATATTATTCCAGCGGATACAAAACATACTAGGTGATTTCTTTCCATCTTCCTAAGCCTTGGTAGGCAAAGTTAAATAATACTTGTGTTGATTGGAGGTAGCAAGTAGCTAGTGGAATTAGTCGAGGTGTGTGCAAGCTGGCCCGAACACCACCATCATAAAATAATAGTTGTTTTGGCACGTTATTACTCCCGCTCCAAATTAATAAACTTACTGAAATAAATTATGAATATTACCATAACAAACAAAAACTTGCTACAAACTATGAGCATTTGGAGTTCCAGAGGAACCTTCTAGGAAGGGTGCCAAAAAAAATAACAAATATCTTCTGTAAGGTTGATTATTTCCTCCACTTCCAAATATTAGTCAGTTTTGACAAACTGAATTTGTTTTAAAATTATTTAAAATTTCAGAAAAACAAGAAGTCATTTATTACTTATTCTGCTAAGCTTATTCGCCTCCTAAAAGATTTGGACATACCTTCATAAGAATAGTATCTCCTTCTGGAACACTTTCAAACATATCTCCCCCAACATGTTCCACCCCTGCAATATTATGATCACAATCTTAATTCAAGTTAAGAATTGATTATGTATGTATAAGAAACTATTGTATCAGTTGACAAAGCTCTAACTTTAGTTTGGTGTAATTGCATAATCATGTAATGTGACATTATCGTGATCAGAGGCGGAACCAGGATTTCAAGAAAATGGGTGTACTGTTGTGAAGAAACGGATCTAGAATTTACGTTTTACGGGTTTAACTTTAGTTTCGTATCATGAACCTTCTACACTTTTTAAATTATAAGTTCAAAATTACATTCTTTTTGAAATTCTAGTGATTTTCACATTTATATCTATATTCCGTGCCGAAAACAAGACCGTCCGAAGTGGATTTTGAACCGTCAATTGCACTAGTAGAGGTACACTCAATAATAATTACACCATAAAAGTCTTTGAGCATGGGGTGTGCATACATATATTTAAGTAATTTTGAAAAAATATAACTTTGCTATACATGGTTTAGTAAAAAGAACATGAGTTCACGTATACCCTTATCCCTTAACCTAAATATTTCTCTGAAGCTGAAAGATATAATAGGAGTATTATTTAGCATTTCAATGTATATTAGGTAAATCCCTAACGATAAGTAAAATTAAGTAGTGTTGGACCAAACTTTCAAAGTATATTAAACAATAAAACAAGAATGAGAAGGTGCATGTTGAACAACATGTAGCAAATCAAAATTAGTGCCCTTAATTGTGTGGTATTTAGCTGTAACCATCTTGAGGTTGACTCCAAGATCACCTCCAACATCTACCAAAGTCTTAAGGTTGTCAAAACCTTTGTAATTTTCAATTATTTTTTTCATGACTATAGTTGTGTGATTGATCATTGCCTTGTTGAAAACATCATTAAATTTGGGGTGTGATTTTGGATATTCAAATGCATTACGCCGTGTACCCTGTCAAATAGAACTCCTCCTTCAAGAACTGCATCTTTTAATTCAAACCTGTAATTTAAATAAGATAGACAGTCAGATATGAATCATATGTTCTAATTTTGTCATGCCCCTTCTAATTTGAAAAATATAGTTTAAGAGTCAAACAAATCTTTCATTTAAACTTTTTCTTTTTTTGTATTTCATTTAAAGTTACTAAGCCACTATTATCATGGAAATTATTACTAAACCAATTGAACGGAATCTTTTATGGCTTTTCTATATAGTAGTAATAGTAGTTTAGAGAGAATCTGGTCAAATTGTGTCATGGCACCAACATCTACAAGATGCATTTAATATATAGATTTTCTCTACTCCCACCTACATTTAAACTAAATTAAGTTCAATCTAAGAATCTAATTTATCTAAATCGCCTATAAATNTTTTTTTTTTTTTTTTTTTTTTTTTTTTTTTTTTTTTTTTTTTTTTTTTTTTTTTTTTTTTTTTTTTTTTTTTTTTTTTTTTTTTTTTTTTTTTTTTTTTTTTTTTTTTTTTTTTTTTTTTTTTTTTTTTTTTTTTTTTTTTTTTTTTTTTTTTTTTTTTTTTTTTTTTTTTTTTTTTTTTTTTTTTTTTTTTTTTTTTTTTTTTTTTTTTTTTTTTTTTTTTTTTTTTTTTTTTTTTTTTTTTTTTTTTTTTTTTTTTTTTTTTTTTTTTTTTTTTTTTTTTTTTTTTTTTTTTTTTTTTTTTTTTTTTTTTTTTTTTTTTTTTTTTTTTTTTTTTTTTTTTTTTTTTTTTTTTTTTTTTTTTTTTTTTTTTTTTTTTTTTTTTTTTTTTTTTTTTTTTTTTTTTTTTTTTTTTTTTTTTTTTTTTTTTTTTTTTTTTTTTTTTTTTTTTTTTTTTTTTTTTTTTTTTTTTTTTTTTTTTTTTTTTTTTTTTTTTTTTTTTTTTTTTTTTTTTTTTTTTTTTTTTTTTTTTTTTTTTTTTTTTTTGAAACTCCAAAATGAGTAAATGCATTTTTTTTTTTTAAATAATTCCACTAGGCGAGGTGCCTAGGTCTGTTTTTTATATATATCTAAGAAAAATAAAACATAATGTCAGTGTATCTAAGAAATGTATATGGCTACCTAGTGTACTTACATTATTCCTATTATCAATCTTGAGTATGAAACTTAATATTGATATCACATATGTACTAAAAATTGGCTAATAAACTGATAATTAAAAAACTGTCCATAATTCCAAGTCCTGCTGGTGTGTGTGCCATGTTGGTTATTTTTTCTGAGAATTCTACACCTTGTGATGATTGTAACTACTTGTTGATAATCGTTGTCTTGTGTTGAGAACCTGCAGATAATTAAAGCAGCCAACAAAAAGAACAATTTCTGCACTGACCATCGACTTGAGCTCCTCGTGAGTAGGCTTTTTTGCGTCCAAAATTTGGTGGCGCTCCTTGCGTTTGAGTGCCAATTCTTCCCCATTATGTCTTCTTTGTATGTCATAGCCAATATAGCTGGAATGTATCTCCTTGTTGTCCCAATCTCGTAACCCATAGAAGCCTCTAAAGTACAGACTTTCATCCATAAATAGCTGGGCAGTATTGTGGCCTTGGTCTGTAGTGACCAGTGTTCCATGTTGATCCTTGCCCATTTGTGTGAGTTTTCATCAAGAAAATCTTCTCTGCATATCAGTAACGAAATAGATGTAGAGCATCTGTATGTTTTCCATCCTATGATCCTTGTGAGGCCCCTTAAAACACACTGTCGTAGCCATGAAGATCTGGGATGTGACTGTGTCTGATGTCCTATTGTGCCAATTCTATTTTGTATTTTGTGATCAGTTGTTGAGTCTATTACATTTCCTAGAAAAATGGAACCTCGATCTTGATAAACTTCATGCCAAAGCTCCCCCATATTCACAAAATAGCTCAATGATTTGTTGTGCAATTCCAATGCCATGCTTGTGCCCATCCCTGCTTCCCTCCCATTGGAATGAGTACATAGTACTAATACCACCAAATGGGAGTTGTTCAAAGAATGGGGCATGACTACAGTAGCATTCTCTGCAAAAAAAAAAAAAAACTAGGTTAGCAATAAAAATTATCACCATACTCTCCTCCATATGGATTTGAGTATGACGATAGAGTATATGTCCAGAATTTCTTCAGCTCCTGCTACAGCCTTTCTCCTCTCCTCCTACCTCCTTGCAACCTTCACTCTTAAATAGGGACATTATAATTTATCACTATTTACAATCCTTCTCCCATTCATGTCCAGTTCCCAGAATGAATGGCACTCAAAAGGACCTGTGTCTAGAGCATAGTTAGCTATATGATATGCTAACTAATTGCCTTCCCTCAGTGTGTGTGAAAGCTTCAAATTGCATCTCTCCATTAGTTCCTTTATCTCCTCCACCTCTGCTGCAATTGTCCATGGTACAGACCACTCGCCTTGTATCATCTTTTTAATCATCATCGAGTCTGTATGTAGATCAATGAGTATATAGTCATTGTCCACACAGTATTTCATAGCTTCTAAAATGGCCCTCACTTCAGCTTTTATGTTTGTTCCTTCTTGTATCTCTTTGCCACATGCATATATAATGTCACCTTCCTCATTCCTTAGAACATAACCAAATGAATTCCTTCCTGGATTGCCTCTAGATGCACCATCTGTGATCAATATTATCCATCCTTGCTCAGGTAATTCCCGCAATACCTTAGTATATTTCAACTTAGGAGTGTACTGTTCCATCATGATCACTAAATCTGGCCATTTGTGAGGAACATGTTGCAGGCTTGGTTTTCTAAACTTCACTCGATACTGCAACATTGTTGAAATTTTGTACATGACCCTATTAACAGATACAGACTCCCCATATTTGTAACCATTTCTCCTTTTCCATAATTCCCAAATGATAATCGAATGCAGTGCTTGAAGAATTGGCTGCAATCTTGGTACAACTTTCATAGTCCAGCATTTCACAATAGCTTGATGAAATGTTAGTCTTTCCACATTTATTCCTGCAGCTGATAGAAAGTACTTCCACACTTTTCTGGCAGCATATGAAGTGAAAAACAAATGAGACATTGTCTCTTCTTGTGCAAGCACACAACACCAACATTTTGATGCCATTAAATACCCCAGTCTCCTGAAAAAATCATCCAGAGGCAATTTATTTTTCCAAACCTTCCCACATGAAGAAATACACTTTGAAAGGCAATCCCTTCACCCAGATATTTCTATATGCAGTACTTGGATTTCTTCTTTTTCTAATATAGTCCCAAGCAGACCTCACACTAAACTCACCTCTTGGGTCAAGCATCCATATAGGTTTATCCAGAATTCCATCCTGCATTGGAGGCTTCACATTATTCAGAATATACCCAGCCAAGTCTTCAGGTAGCAATTGATACAATGATGCTGTGTTCCACCTATTCCCTTGCATCACTTCATACATATTCTGAATGGATTGATCACAAAAGAAATCTGGTGGAGTGACAAAATACAATGCTCCCAGACCTGTCCAATTCTCAAACAAGAATAAAGATGATCCCATTTTTGGCTGCCATGCTATTTGATGTTCTATGGAATCTCTACATTCTAGCGTCTTTCTCCATACACGTGATCCATCCCTCCAAGGTACTATCATGGCATTCATCTTTTACAGTATTTTTGGCTAATGAATGAGCTCCACAATGAAGGCTTTATTCTGAAATTCAACATAGTTTACAAAAGAGAGCTTTGGACACATCATGTAGAGATCTAAAGCCTATTCCTCCTTCCTCATGTGGTAGGCATAGGGTGTCCCAAGAAGCCTAGTGTCTGCTCCTCCCATCTACTGAGTTGCTCAAAAAAAATCTAGCCATAAGCTTATGTATTCTGCTGATCACAAAGGCAGGTGCATTGATTGCTGACAACAAGTGTATGGGCATACTTTGCAAAACATGTGATATTAAGACTGCTCGACCTCCTATAGATAGTAACTTCCCTTTCCACGACTGTATCTTATCAATAACATTGTTAATCAATCCTTGGTAGTACTCCAGTTTCCTCTTTGTATAAAATATTGGACATCCCAAGTAGGTGAATGTGAATTCTTGCCTCCCTATTCCAGTTGCTCTTTCTACCTTTCTCATCACTTCTTCAGCTGTCAGATGATGTAAGTATACTGCTGATTTAGCCGTGTTTATCAATTGTCCAGATGCTGCCTCATATGCTGATAGAACTTGCGTTATTAAATGCAAAGAGGTTTCATCAGAGGAAGAAAAGATTATTGTGTCATCTGCATAAGCCAAATGATTGATCTTGGGACTCCATTTAGGTAAGCCATACCCACAAAAGTACAGATTTTGATGAAGTGTATTCAAACCTCTTGATAGAGCTTCTGCAACATTGATGAACAAAGCAGGTGATAGAGGATCACCTTGCTTAACTCCCCTTGTTGATTTAAAAAATCCATGTGGCTGGCCATTTATAAGTACAGAATACCAGTTGTTCGATATAGTCCCAAAGACTATGCCAATGAATCTCTCATCAAAGCCCATTCTTCTCATTACTTTTGCCAGAAATATCCATGATAATCTATCATATGCCTTTGTCATTTCTAACTTGATGATCACATTAGGACTTGCCTTAGTTCTTAGCCTAATATATGTGACTATTTCCTGCTTTAACAAAACATTTTCCACAATGCTTCTGCCTTTAACAAATCCTGCCTGTTCATCAGAAATAAGGCTGGGAAGCAAACTTACCATCCTCTAATGAATGACTCTTGAAAAGACTTTGTTTATGAAATTGCTGAGGCTTATTGGTCTCATATCTGAGAATGTGTTTATTTCTTTCTTCTTAGGCAGCAATACTAGGTTAGTATGGGTAGTGAATCTAGGGAGGTCCTGCCCATTAAAGAAAGCATGTACCATAGCAACCACATCTTCACCAACTATATCCCAACAGTTGTGGAAAAATTGGCCATTAAAGCCATCAGGTCCTCCAGCACTGTCACCATTAAGGCCAAAAACTGCCAGCTTTACTTCCTCTTCTGTTGGTAATCTTGTCAAATTCTGATTCTGCTCCCGAGTGATCATATTAGGAACATGCTGAATTATCTCAAAATCAGTAGGGATACTTTCCTCATGGAACTGCTTTTGAAAAAATTTCACTTCCTCTTCAGCCATTGCTTCATCATCTTCAATCCAGTTCCCTTCAGAGTTTTGTATTCTTTTCAACTGTAATCTCTTCCTCTTCCCATTAACGTGAGCATGGAAAAATTTAGTATTCCTATCACCTTCATTGAACCAAGTCATCCATGACTTTTGCTTCCAAAATTGTTCCTCCAAAGCAAGATATCTGAACAGCTCTGCCTGTACTTTTTGTAGCCTCTCCCTGTCCTGTACAGTTGGTTTGATTTCAAATTGTGCTTCATGGACACTTACTACCTCTTCTAGGCTTGAGATCTGTTGGAAAATATCAACATAAGTTGATCTACTCCAAGTTGACAATGCCTTTTTCAACTTCCTTAGCTTGTGATTGAAAAGAACAAAAGGATTAGCATGAAAATCCGACTGCCAGTTCTCCTTAACCACTACTTTGAATGTATCATGTTTTGTCCAAGAAGATAAAAATCTGAAGCTTTTCTTAATTTGTACAACATTTGGATTATTGGTAATTAACAAAGGACAATGATCAAAACCAATTTTGGGTAGGTGTGTGATCTCCATTCCTGGCCACATCTGTTGCCATTCCGTATTTGAAAAACATCTATCCAACCTCTTAAAGATACAATCTTCTTCAGCCCTCCCATTCAACCAAGTGAAAATACTTCCTTTGAATCCCAAATCTGTCAGTTTGCAGGTGTCCTTACAGTGCCTAAAATCATCTACTTCATTCAAAGAAACTGGAAACCCTCCAAACTTTTCCTCCTCATCCCGTATAACATTAAAATCCCCCTACCATCCATGGTATTGTCATATCACTAGCCAGATAGTACAAGGAGTACCACTCAATCCTCTCAATATGATCACACTTAGCATATCTAGTGTGAGCATGAATTATTTCTCTTCTTCAGTATCATATAGCCTTAGAGTTAGTTACTGCACTGCATTAATCTCCACTGTTACATTATATTTTCCATCTATAAAAGCCCAAATCTTATTAGAGATGCTGAGAAAAGCTTGTTCAAAGCAAATCTCTCTCCTATATCTGTCCAATTTCCCTGCTTGTTGCATTGGTTCCATGAGTCCAATAAACTCAAAATGATATTTTCTATACATTGTTATGAGCCTTTCAAAGGCTCTTTGTGTGTTGACTGATCTAATGTTCCATATTATAGAATTCATCTCTAATTAATGGATTTAGATACAGTTCTCCTTGTTTGGACCCCAGTTGGCTGCACATTAGGGACCTCTTCCACCTGCTTCTTTCTTCCTCTACCAGCTGATTTGCCCTTCTCCATGAACCTAGGAGAGATATCTCCTTGTCTAGCAACATTCCTGAAGTTTTGACAAGTTGATTCTGCATCTAGATCTCTTCCTTTACTTGATGTATCATCCTCCATATCCTTCTGTTGTTCTGTTGTTGCAATCTGATTTTTAGTTGATTTATGCATCATGAGTTTGTCCTCATTTGCCTTGGGCTGATCTACATTATTGTTGTTGGTAATGACTTCATTATTCTCCAGTGTTTCCACTCTTTTATCTGCATTTTGCTCCTCATCTCCAAGAGTATCACCAGGATCTAATTGTTCCTTACCTCCACCAGATTCACCAAGATCCAATTGCTCAGCAATAATTGGATCCACTTCAATTGTTTTTGATTTGTTGAGAGTTGGACCAGTGACTAGTTTTTGTGCTTCAGCATTTGAACTCCCACCCTCTACTGAGACAGTAATTTGTTTTGTTGTGTTCTCCACAGTCTGTATCTCACCTTTGTTTCTTTTACCATTAACGCTGATTTCTTATCCTTGTGGCTCATCATCAGCTTCCACATTATGTTGCTCCTCATATCCTTCAGATAAATCACCCTCATCTGGATCCTCTTCCGTCTGATTACACCATAACCTTCCACCTGTCCAATCTACTTTTTGTATTAAGAATTCTTGCTCAGCTGCTGCTTCAGGCTCAATAGATTGTAATGGTATTTCTTGGCATGATTGATTCATGGTAACATTGTTGGCTATAAAAGCTCTACTCGCCCATTGAGTTGTGGTTTCCTTCTGTTTTTCCTGCTTCTTTTTCTACTGCCTTTGTACCTTCATTTGTATCATTTGTTGCCTTAGTCTTTCTATCTCCTGGTGATCTAGGGGTAAAGGTAGGTGCTGCAGCATTCAAAGTTTTCCCAGTTTCCTTAGGAGTAGTGTTTGTATGTTGCACATTGTCTGTAGGTACTAATGCTAACTGATTTACTCCATCTGCCTCACTTTCCTCATTCTCCAAAATAGCAAATTTATCTGTAACCTGGATCTGCTGAGAGTTGGTACCTTTAGTTGTAACAATTTGTTGAGTTTTTTCCACACCTGCAGGAATCAATTCCTTTCCTGCATTATCTACACCTTGTTGCACATTCCCAGAATCAACTGGAATTATTTTCTTTCCAGTATGGCCTTGATCTGTAGTCTGCTTTTGTCCATTCCTTAAACGATTGTCTCTAACTTCATTCCACTGCTCTCTAATATTTCCAACCACTTCCCCACTTGATAGGATCATGATTGGATTCTTTGCATTATTCTGAACATTACCCTTTGCAGCATCTGTTTGTTTCTCCTTGTCTGGTTCCACATAGAGCTCTGGATGCAATCTCCAACAAGTTTCTTCATTGTGTCCTTGAAGTTTGCACTCCTTGCAATACTTAGGAATGTAGTCATACTGCACCTTCACCCATTCGGTTCTAGTCTTTCCATTGGCTTCATCTACAATGTCCATCCTTACTCGTTGAGGTAGCTCTTCTAACAGGTCAATCTGTACCTTAACTCTTGCACAACTTGGCCTCTTTTTGTTCACAATAGCCATGTCTAAATGCAAAGGAATGCCTACTTTTGATGCTAAAGAAAACAAGCACTCCTTGACAAAGAATGTAGGAAGTAAATTTGGAAAAGAAATCCATGCCATCACCTTAGGAGTTTCTTGACCAATCTTGAACTTAGAATCATATATCAATGGTCTCATCTGGTATTCATACCCATTCTTGGCTTTCAAATAGCATACGCCCTTTGATGTGAGATTAGTATAGTCCTCTAACAATGTTAATCTGCTCAACACATGACGATCTCTCAATAAACCAATATTACACTCACCTTTGATCTTATATTGGGCTGGAAGTATACGTCTGATCTCCTGCAAATCTGGCCGTCCATATAAAAATTTTCCAAGCACTGCAAATTGAAGACCCTCGATGATGTTCATTCTTTCCACTTCTTCTTTAGTCCACTTGATTATAGGCTGTCCTTATTCAACTGGTTTCATGGGAATTGGCTCAACAGTTTTTACGTTTGAACTCGAAGCCTGCATGGCAGTGTTTAATGCAGCAGGTTTGAGAATTTTGTAGTAATCCAAGGGCTGTGTATTGTTGTTTATGGTTGTGGGAGTTTGGGTACTGGTGTTAGGAGGCTGACCAGCCGGTAACACTGGCTGGCCGCCGGCCAGATTGGCCATGGAAGCAATCACGTAGGTTTCTCTCTCTAGAATCGCCAAATCGCCAGAGCCTCTCTCTCTAGACTCGGACGCAGGAGTTGAGTAAATGCATTTGGATCGTACGTTACAATGTTTTTTGTTTTTGTTTTTTTGTTTGTTCATATTTTATTTTTATTTTTTTTTATTTTTTGCTAATGTATGAAGCTTTTATTAATAGCACAAAACGGAAGTTATTACATGATGGTAACTGGACGTATAGTCCCAGTTTAATAGAAGTCTTCCTTTAGTTCATTAAGGATAAAGGGGGTGGGTATACAAAAACCAAAGCGTTTTTTCCCATGGCAGAATGTCTGCCTACATTTCCCATTATAATGGAGCACGACGTTTTTAAATTTGTCTGAATTTTAAATTTTTAATAGTATATCATTTAAAATCATTTTGTTCATATTAAGTTTACTTATTTACACATTTAATGTAAAAATATAATTTACCTTAACCATCCAGCAATATTTGAAAATTACATTGTACCCCTTGGCTTTGGTAATTGGATGGATGTAGGGTTAAATTTTTTTAGGGAAGTATCGTTGAGCCAATTGATGCATGACATCCATTAGCCTTACTCTTCTAGCTAGTTGGTATTATAAACTCATGGTGTGGCAATAAAAGATTCAGTTGTCATTTTCTCCGTAATGAACAACACCTTTTTTCCTATTTTATAAATTCAAAATTCAAAAAAAGAATTAAAAGTATAAAAGCATATATATATATATATATATATATATATATATATATATATATATATATATATATATATATATATATATATATATATATATATATATATATATATATATATATTATATATATATATTATAATAGTATATATATATATATATAATTAGTAATGGCTATTTTTTAAAAAGACAAATAATTTGTAATGGATTATGCACTCATATTCATTATTTACTTTTGCTAATTAGTGTACATGAATCATACATTGATTATACATAGTTATGTACATATTATAACTTAATTATTTATATATTAGTTATACGTCTCTCATCCATTGTAAATTTAAGTAATTGGATGGATAGCTATTAAGGTTAATTTTCTTTTTTTAATTAAAGTGACCAATAAAAGGATAAGATGGAAAATAATAACACACATACGACTAACATAATCGACAAATAGTAAAATCAAGAATCTTGTGTTCTGAAAAAGACAACCAACCAATACTGCTAGTGGAAAAAAGAATAAAAAGTAGGTGTTATACATGGGATTTTATTTATGGTGAATGTCTATACTTAGAGAGATTCTAGGGTTTATTACTTAGTGGCTATGTCGCCCTCTCCCTATAAATAGAGGGTTCTATTCCATTGTAATTCATCCAGATCAATTAGAAAACTCTCTCTATACTTGTCTCAGCAATACTCTTCTTCTTATCTTATTGTTTCATAACAAGTTATTAGCACGAGACTCTAACCAATTGAGTACAAGCTTTGATATTGTGCATAATGGTTGTCAATTATTCCATGAACTCCCTTAATAATTAAATTCTGGATTTAAGGTAAGTATTTTACTTTATTTTTCTCTTTTAAATTCTTGACATTCTAAAAGTTGATTTTAAATACTAGGAAAGACAATAGGTTGTGATTATAACTCTAATAGAGTTTGCAAGAAATTATAACCACCCAAAGTGATAAAATTTCTATGCCTTGCCATGATCAAATTCATGTATGATTGTGGGCAAAGAAGTGGAAATCACTCCCATTTAATTTGCTTCATTCTCATTCCCTTAAGAGAATGTGGTAGCAATATGTAATAAGTCTGAAAGAAAATAAAATTATAACCGTGAAGGTATCAATGGATGCGGACGTGGCAATAGAGGAAATTATAATCATCATCATTGTGGTAATGGGAATAATAAGGATTCTCAAAATAATCCTTCACTCTGTGAAAGTAATGTTTGTCATCGATCTGACATCAGATTTTATAAAGCACATATAAATGATTATGGTCCATTCATGATGTGAATGTGACAACATGTGATTTATGAATACATATTTATTTTCGGAAGAATATGAGCGTGCTAGTGGTATATATCCCGCTCACCTCTAGAAGGACGTTTGAGAGGAAATAAGAAAATAATGTAATTATTATGGCATAATTGGTCATTGGTCACGTTGTACGCCAAAATATTTTTGCATTGTGATTGTTAAAAGACAACAGTAAGGCAAGAAACATATCTTGCATATAATTTTGACCATAACTATAACAGAATAACTTTCTCTTTAAAAGAGATATTCACCAAATGGATGTCGATGAAACATGTGGTACTACAAAATTAATTGAGAACTCTGCAAGAGCCAATTATATTATTTTGGAGAAACACAATTGATTACCAATAAGGTATTGTGTTGTAGTAAGTCTCAAAGAAACTTATTCAGTTTCCAACGTATATGCAAAAGCGGTTAATTATATTGGGACTATAAATAAATAAAAGATTTAGTATCTTCTATTATTACAACTTGTAGCGGGGTAATATTTATGTGAAAAGTTACCCGCTTTATTCTCCAGTTTGTAGTACACAAATAAAAGAATACCATAATAAAGTGGATGTTTATTCAAATAAAAAACCCATATCATAATAAACTTAGAGTTTATTGATAATTGCACACGTCACAGTGTAAATCTAAATTATCAATATTGATAATTTATTCAGTTGGCATATTGATTTAGCCATGTTAATTTAAGTATGATGTGCGGAAAAAAAAACAAAAGAGAATTCACATGGGACAATATTAAAATACTAGAAAGTTCTTTACGAATTCTCTTATATTGTTTGTTTTCATTAATTAATAGACCAACTAAAATTGGGATTGATCCCATGAATGCTGGAAATATCTAAGGTGAATCTGGCCCATTCACCTGCCATGTATACCACATAAGATGCATCTATGAGATGGTTACATGTGCGATTATTATCAACTTGCAACCTGGTGTTGACGAGGTAACTGTTCAATAATTAATTTAGAGCATAATTTCCAGATTTTCTACTCAAGAAAGTTTTCTTGATAAGTTGGTTTACATCACAGTTGGTTTCGCAAAATGATTTATTGAGTTCCTCCACTTAATAGCTAAACTATTGCTTATGAGAACAAAATTTTGTATATCAGTTTGATATACGTTATATACGAAAAACTATATTATTTTTCCCCTGTGGTTCAGGGTCAGGAACCAAATAATTTTATCTTATTGTTATTGATGTCCGGTGTATATTTTGATTAACACCATAACACACAAAGGTATATTCTCAAAGTTGAGGAAACAAGTTAGTTTTTCTAACGTGATGGGAAGATAAGATAAAAAGTTGAGAAAAAGTTACGTGGAATGAGTTAACGTGTGTATATTTAGATCTTTGAATAAGATAATATGAACTTCAAGTTAATAAAAAGATAATTCATTTGCAATATATTGCAAAGCATGCTAGACTATAACGACCCGACCAGTCGTTTCATAATTCATATAACAA